ACGCTGCTTTTTTCGAAGTTTCTCAAGAACCATTCGAGCCAGATAATTCGTTTTGGCATCGTTGGATAGAGAATTGAATGGGGGAATCGCTCTGACCTATCGAAAAATATTGTTCGTGTGCTTTTATCAGATTTGTATCAGACAAACTTGATCTATGCCACTCCTGTTGAAACCACAGAAGAACTGTTGCAAAGAATGATGTTTCATTGCCATCAAATAAGAGATCAAAGTTGGGATTCTGTGGCGGGTTTAACAATCGAATTCAAAAAAGCTTCCATTTAATCGAACATGTATTAAACTAAGAGGCCTTTTCTGGAATTGATCAACCCACCGTTAGATTCATTTTCTAGCTATGCGAAAATGTTTTGCTTGGGCCATTCTGAGTTTCATTTTAATGTTCAAGTCCAATGCAAAAATGGTATTCATGTTCCTTTCAATTCCGTTCCAGATGTGGCATCAGTAGGCGCTTCTGATCCAGAATGTTCCATTCGGCGGTGAACGCAACCGGCTACAATGACACCAACTCGGGCTTCCATCAGCACATTCAACAGTCGCCTGTCTATGTGCCGAGCAACCGGGGCAGCGCCATGCCCCAATACCCCTCACCAGCTGGGGGGCACTTTGGTAAGTCCCCAACCAGCCCCAAAGCTGCAGTTTTGCGCAGAACCATTAGTGGAGAGAGGAAAAACGCATCAGTTCCATGGGAGGCTGGCGCTAAATCATCTGTGCTTGTCCGCAGGTTCTGCGCATCAAAACGCCTGGCATTCCGGCTCCGGGTACGCAGAAATGGGCGGGCCCACTGCGCATGGGCTGGGGGCGAGCGGGCACCATGCGGGCGCACTTTCCGCCGGCCAATTTTACGCCCAGAACATGATGATGCGATCGTGGGGCCCTTACGAGGGCGGCTTCCAGCGAGGTTACGGTACGTACTGGATTTCCGTGGCTTTTCAAGCACTTCCTGCCTGTTCTGGGCCTGCTTACATAGTCCAGACGGCCGGGAAGTGAATACTCGGATAAGAACCATCGATTTCGAGTGGTCTCGGGCGTGGCGGCACCTTTTGAGCCACTTAGTCAGCGATTATCTTTTCATTTGTTCTCTAAGCGATTGTGGCCATCTGGCTGTTTCCAGATCCCGCCATGGAGTTCCAGTTCGGCGAGGGAAGAGAGTGTGTCAACTGTGGCGCGATCTCGACGCCACTGTGGCGCCGGGACGGCACTGGTCACTATCTGTGCAATGCTTGCGGGCTCTACCACAAGATGAACGGCATGAATCGGCCCTTGATTAAACCCTCCAAAAGACTGGTAAGCGCGATTGTTTCACTGGGAAAAAAATTCAAAATCTCCTATTGGAAAAACCTCGTCGATCACAATTAATCACCGGCTGGCTGGACGGTGGCGCATAATTAATAAATGTCATCAACTTATTATTAATTGTCCAAAGACCACCAAGCCTCTGCGCGACTTTCGCATCATTTATCTTTTAATAATTCGCCAGATACTCATCTAGTAAGTAGCCCACTTTGATTTGCTAGCTCTCCTATATGACGCACTTAGATGGTCTTATTGATGCTTGATTGGAAAGGCGTTGTTTTTGGTATCTTTAACTGCTTTTTTTGGCTTCTACAATGCATTTTTAGATATAGTGGAGTGGGGTAAATGCATAAACGGCGTAAGTGCATAAAC